GTCAAAATGTAAATCATCCCCAGCCGCAGTGATGCCTCCAAACTCTTCGTTTCAGCGCCATGCGTCCAGCAATCTCGGCTCTCAGAGCAGCGCCTCTGGCAGCTGCGCAGGCTGAGCGCGGAGACCCTTCCGCACACGGAGTCCTCCACCCCCGACTGCACCTGCGCGGCGCGGCCCCGCCCCACTGCAGTGTTGGATTTCGGCACGTGAGCCGCAGCCGTTCCTTCAGGGATCATCTTCGTTTAAAAACTTGCCGAGGGTTTCGTTCACTGCTCCCACTGCCTCTGCGATCTACCCCTGCGGTTCCTCAGCCCCCCTGGGAGCGACTGCGGGAGAGGAGGGCCGCGGCCAGGCCGCTAGGGGGCACCGCTCGCTCGCAGACCCAACGTGAGAGGCCTCCGTCAGAAGAGAAACCTGCTTAGTCAGAACCGATTTAACGACCCATTGAATTGTGTTGCAAATCCCAACCTCTATCCTGTGCGTATAATACCATTTGTGCATGGGGTGTCTCTGTTATGTTGATGAGACAGGATTAATTTAGGATGTGTTTTTAGATTAAATGCAAAGATGTAAAATAAAAGGTAAAATACATGGAGATTTCCAAGGAAGAAGCAGCTAGAGAGACTAGGACCTTCCGCCAGAACTGACCAAAAGCTGGAGCTTACTAAACTTAGAAAAAAATTTTGTCAAAGCCATTCGTATCTCTGTTACAGCATCATAACTAAAACAATTTGGTATCTGGATAGTGGGGTGCTGCTCTAACAGACAGCTAAAATGTGGAAGTGGTAAATTCTGCTGTACATGCGTGAGAAATTCTCAAGATGGTCCATCTTCAGGAATAAAGAACCCACGAGATTGGTAGACCAGACAGATTGTTGATTCACACCCAGGGATATGTGTTGTTGTTAGGTGCCTTTGAGCCGGTACAGACTCATAGCAACACTGTGTAAAACAGAACTAAACACTGCCAGATCCTGGACTAACCCCACAATTGTTGCCACACTTGAACCCATTGATGCTGCCAGTTTGCCAATGCATCTCGCTGGGGCTCTTCCTTTTTTTCTCTGACCCTCCACCTTACCAAACATGATATCCTTCTCCAGTGACTGGTCCCTCCTGACAATATGTCTCAAGTATGAGAGACGAAGTTTGGCTATCTTGGCCTCCAAGGGGCACTCTGGCTGTACTTTTTCCATAAAAAGATCTGTTGGTACTTTTGGCAGTCCATGGCACTTTCAATATTCTCCAACACCATAACTCAAAAGCATCAATTATTCTATGGTCTTCCTTATTCACTGTTCAGCTTTCACATGCATATAAGGTTATTGAAAATACCATGGCTTGGGTCAGGTGCACCTTAATCCTCAAGCTGACCTCTTTGCTCTTCAACACTTTAAAAAGTTCCTGTGCAGCAGATTTGCCTAACACAATATGTCATTTGACTTCTTGACTGCTGCTTCCATGAGTGTTGATAGTTGATCCAAGAAGAATAAAGTCCTTGACAACTTCAATCTTTTCTGCATTGATAAGAATGTTGTTTATTGGTCCAGTGGTGAGGATTGTTGTTTTCTTGACATTGAGATGTAATCTATACCGAAGGCTGTGCTCTTTGATCTTCATCAGTAAATATTTTAAGTACACTTCACTTTCAGCAAGCAAGGTTGTATCATCTGCATATCGCAGGTTGCTAATGAGTCTTCCTCCAATCCTGATGTCATGTTTTTCTTCATATAACCCAGTTTGTCGGATTATTTACTCAGCATACAGGTTGAATAGGAGTCCCGGTGTGGCACTGTGGGTTAATGCACTAGACTGCAAAGCCATTTGAACTGCAAGGTTGGTGGTTCAAGCTCACCAGCTGCACTTTGGAAACCCTATACAGGGTCACTATGGGTCGGAACCGACTCAACAGCACTTCACAACAACAGGTTGAATGAGTATGGTGAAAGACAACCCTCACACCTTACCTGATTTTAAACCATTCAGTGTTCTCATGTTCTGTTCAAACAACTGCTTCTTAGTGTATGTACAGGTTCCTCATGAGCAAAATTAAGTGTTCCAAAATACTCCATTTCACAATCAGGGTAGATTGTTAACTCCACAGTACCCAATCAAAGGGGAACTGGCATTTTTGAGACGGGAATAAAACTCTTGGAAGGCGGCCATGCTTCATGTCTGCCTGTATCTACTGATTTGGGTGCCCAGTTTTGCAAAATTGAATTAAGAAACCCTCACTCTCGATAAAATGAGTACAGATTGGATTTCTTGATACCTTCCTAGAACATTCACCAAGGATGTGGTGACACAATCTCTTGTTAAAGAGACTAAGCCTGTTACTGACGGATCTAGCCAATGATCACAACAGAAAATCCGCTTAGCTAAAAGGGACAGAAAAACACCAACAGGAGGATGCTGGCTGTCTCTCCGGGTCCCACAAGTTGGAAACAAACTCAGAAAAGGAAAGCATTATCCTTGCAACCCCTCGGAGATAAGTGAACTGTTTGTTGGAAGGAACACGGGAAACCGTATCTTCATGGTTTCAAGAGGTGGGACCACAATCTGCTGGGTCTCGAAGGGTGGCACAGCCACAGCTTTGTAGGTTTGAGAGTCAGCTCGGCACCAAATCAGTTCTGGAATATGGGCTGCCATGCACAAGGGGCAGATGAATGGCACCTGCCAGGACAAAGGGGTGCAGTTACCAAGTAGATGAACTAGTAGAATGGGGCCTCATAAAGCTCGGGAGCAGAGTTGCCATCCTAGATGGTGTAGAAGTTGGAGCTGATACCCAGGGCTGAGGCGCCACCACTCAGAATCCAGAAGGCCTGGCCGACACCCAGACTCTGGAGGAAGGGCCAATGCCCAGATGCTGTTAGAGAAGCGACGACTGTTTTCGAGTCTTGAGAGCTAATGCAATTTGTTCTGCTGGGTTTTGGATTTGCATGGTGCCCGTTGTCGCCCTTCCCTCCAATTGCTCCCATGTGTAATGGAATGTGTACCTTGTGCCCATTCTGACATTGTGCTTTGGAAGCAGACAACCTGTATTCGAGTTCCCAGGTTCACAGATGAAGAGAAGTTTTCCCCCAGGATGGAACACGTCTCAATTCTCACTCAGATTTGACTTGGATGAGTCAAAAGACAAGATTTGGGACCTTGAGTTGATGTAAAACTTTGGGGATGATTTGATGGCATGAATATATTGAACTGAATGTGTCCCAGAAATGTGGGTTGTAAATCCTTCCCTCTAAGATGATTGTAGTTTTTAATTCCATTTGGAAATGGGCTGTATCTGTTATGCTATTTAAGCAGAGTTGGCCTACACTGTATCTTGATTCAGTCTGATAGAAAAAGAGAGGACCATTTTTTTATGCAAATTCAAGCTATGAGAGGGCTTCAAAAGTTAGTGGAAAAAATGTAATTGAAAGTTAATGGAATGTTTTTGCAATCCATGCAACCCCCTTCTGTATTGGTTTCCTATGTGTGTACTATGTTTGTGTGTGTTATTACTGTGGACATGCTATAAGTAATAGATGTGTGTGTGCTCTATGTTTGTGCATGTTATTTCTATGGACATGATATGTATATTGTTGCTAAGTACTGTTGAGTCAGCTCTGAATCATAGCGACCCTGTGTAGGGTTTCTGAGGAGCGGCTGGTGAGCTTGAACTGCCGACCTTAAGGGTTCAAAGCGACTTTGCTGTCCAGCGCATTAACCCATATCACACCAGGACTCCATATATATACATATACACACACACATACATACATACACATATACATGTATATAATGTACTGGACAGCAAAGTCGGTTTAAAATCGATTCTAAGACACACAGAGCTCTCTCATGAGGCCCTTCTTCCAGAGCCAACAGAAACAGGCTACCCTGGAGCCCGCGCGCTGACTTCCTTAACGGTGAGCGAATACATTTCTATTTGTCAAAGCCAGCAGCTTTGGTATTTGTTACAGCAGCACTGGAGAGCTGAGACAGGTGGTGTTTTGGCCCCAAGCACCCCTACATTTATTTTTTATGACACGGAACTAAATGGTAAGAGATTGGGGGGAAACTACTGGCCGTGTTTGTTAAACTTGTAGGCACTGATAAAAATGTCAATCTGAAATTGTCCCAAATGAACCAAAGTGAATCCTAAGGGGCTGTAAAAAGGCACAGAGATCGAAATCACACAATTGTAGGGATCTGTAAGAAATGTGTGTAAATCAAAAGGGAGCCGGTGTTGAAGAAGGAGCATCTTCCAGAAAGGCCTGGAACCTCCTGCCCACCAGGCTCCCCTCTTCCTTGATGAGTGAGTAAATGCCAACTGGGCCTTTTTCTAAGCTGCCTTTTTCACTGGTGGTTTATCTCAGAGGAGTTGAAGTCACATACCTATTACCCAACTTGAGAATAAGTTCCTCTGGACTTTTCTCAGCATCAGCTGCTGTATTTTTGGGTCACGGGGTGAGGAGGTTCCTGGGGGAATGCCTTGGCCCTGAGGCTCCCTGTGTATGTGTGTTGTTGCTGACAGACATGCCTGGCCTCCCTCTCTGCAGTCTTTATTGTCTGGACAAAAGTCACCGTGTGCTCTGTGTGTTCATAAACCTGTCAAGTTCCCGCCTTGGTCCCTCTGACTTGTCCAGCCAGCAACCTTTCCAGAACAGTGCGTTGGGAACAGAAGACCGCTTTCCTCCTCATAATGGTCAGCTCTGGAAGATTCTCCTGGGGGGGCTGTCTGGCTGAGATTATCTGCCCGTACTGCTGCCTGTCTCCCATGGGGAGAGCTCGCTGTCCTGTGGAAACATGGAGACTCCCCTCGGTAGAAGACCCCTTCCCAGGTAGGTGGCTTTTCTATGCTGGCGTGAGGCCACCCCCCCGCTCGGGCATAAAACCTCAGTTCATAACGTGGACGCTGCCTTGCTTGCTTCGTTCTCTATGGTAGAATAGTGATCCGAGGAGAGGCACAGGGCACGGTAAGGTCGGGCAGCAGGTGTCAGCCTGCCCCCCACTGCCCCTCACTGCCCCTCATCCTCAGCAGGTGGCTGCAGGTGGGCGAAGCTCAGAAAGACTTGCTCCAGAGAGATTTGGCTCACGGAGTAGTCATCCACAGCGAACTTCTCCTTGGCTTTTTCTAGGACACCGAAGACCTGAAGGAGCAGACACTTTGTCGTGGGCCCTGGGCTTGCGGCTCTAGGGAGGGCTTAGCCCTGCTGCAGGCCCCCCCAGGAAGGTGCTGTGAATCGGGTTCTCTGTAACGGGGGGATGCGGTTGTTCACTGAACCCAGAGCCCAGCAGATTCCAGGCAGGGGTGGGAGGGGGGAGTGCAGGGAAGAGGAGCAGCACTCACCTTTGCCCAGCTGAGGCCACGACTGGGCAGGTGGTAGTGGACCATCCCCTGGTGTTCATCCTCCAGGACGCTGCCTGCACAGGGAGAGACGCAGGCTGGTAATGGGGAGAGGGGCTTGCAGGGGCTTAGCCCTGACCCCACCCTGAGGGCCGCTGGCCTCCCGCACCTGGAAAGGTCAGGTTCACAAAGGCCTTGAACTCCTCCAGCGCCACCTTCTGCACATCGGCCCGGACCTTGGCCCGCAGGGAGTAGCCACTGCCGAACTTGCTCTTGAGGTGCTGCGGGCTGCCCAGGCACTTGAACTGGCCCTGCACCATGATGGCCAGCCGCGTGCACAGGGCTTCACACTCCTCCATGCTGCGGAGAGGCGGGCAGGCCTGAGGCCGGGCCAGTGGCTCCAGGGACGAGGTGCTGGTGCCCACCAGGCAGTCCCTGCCCCTCCCACTGACCCGAGAGGCCCGGCTCTACCTGTGGGAGGTGATGAGAATGGCTTTGCCGGACTCGCGGGCCCGTGCCACCGTGTCCCAGAGCAGGCGCCGGGCCACAGGGTCCATGCCGGTGGACGGCTCATCCAGAAAGATGACCGCAGGGTCTCCAATCAGGGCGATGCCGGCACTCAGCTTCCGCTTGTTACCGCCACTGGGGGCAGAGGGGCCAGGGGATCAGGCTGGGTGCTGCATGGGGGTCTGGGTTGTAGAAGAACCCTGGGTCTCAGACTGTAGGAGCCAGGTGGACAGAGCCTGGAGTGTCCAGCTCACTGAGGCAGCAGTCCTACCTGCAGCGATCCTGCAGAGTGGCCTCGCTAGCCCTCATCGGCCACTACCTGGGGTCTGGGTTAGGCTCTCTACCTGGGGGCCCCCTCAGTTCCAGGGTCCCAGGCCTCCGGCTGAGGACCCTGTAATGACCCACAGTGCCAAGGGCAGGGACTGGCACACCTGTAAGTCCTGACCAGCTTGTTGGCATGTGGCTCCAGAAGTAGACCCCGAAGTGTGTTCTCCACGCAGGCCCCGATGTGGCGCTCGGGGACACCCCGGAGCCGGGCGTACAGGGCCAGCGTCTCCCGCGCCGTCATGTGGTCCAGCAGGGCATCGAACTGAGGGCAGTAGCCGATGCGCTGCCGTACCTGAGGGCAAAACAGCCCAGGAGGGACCAGTAAATGGAAGACGGCCTAGGAGAATCGGCCTTCCTGCCCTGGCCGGCCTCAGGTTGGTGCGATCCTCCAGGGTGGTCCATCCAGCAGAGCTTGTGTCCCTTCTAGGAAGCTCGGCTGAGCTACTGCTCTGAGCAGACTCAGAAAGGGCTCCACAGATGTGTGGGCACTCAGAGCTCATACCAAGGGTCAGAGGTGGGCTAAGTGGGCCCATCTGGGAACCTGATGCTCTGACTGAACAGAGTAAGCATCACGCAGAACTGCCTTCTGTCACACACACGATGACCCTCCCAGTCCTGCGGGGACCTTGCGTTTTCTATTCTAGGAGCAGAGGTGTTTGCTGGCAGCACCTCTGGGGGCGTCCATGTTAGACAGCAGGACCACTCTCGGGCCTAATGTGGCCTCCAAGCTAGTGGGCTCTGTGCCCAAGTTAGTGGGCTCCAGAGCCTGGGCCCCTTTTTCTCTGTCCTCCTGGGGATCTTAGGCTTCCAGATCCAGTGTGGAATGAGTTTGGGAAAATGCTCACCGGTTGTTCCCTGCACCCCCCAACCCACCCCCCAGGGCACTGTTCTCACGGATTGGGCAGTGGGATGAGTGTGAGGAATGGAGGGTAATGGAGAGCTGCTTCCCACCCCCATGCCCAGAGCAGGGCCTGCCAACTAACTGGACCTGGCCCAAGCCTTCCTCCTGTCTTTCTGCTGTCCCCACCTCCATGTCCACCCGTCACAACCCTCCAGGGGGCCCTTCCTGGGGTGGGGACCCCCTTGCTCACCTTCCCAAGGTCAAAGCGAATGCTGTGACCCCCAACAAAGGCATCCCCGGAGGTGATTGTCTCCTCCCCTGTCAGCATCTTGAAAGTGGTGGTCTTCCCGGCCCCATTGAAGCCCAGCAAGCCGAAGCACTCGCCCTTATGAACTGCCAGGGATAGCTTGTCCACCGCAAGGAAGGGCGTCCGCTGCCCATAAGCCTGCACCACCCATGAGGAAACACACACAGGTCAGGAGGCCAGGCCCAGGGGTCTGCAGCCTCTAGGGACAGAGCTGGACTCCCTGCAGCACCTTGGATAGTTCCCTGATGACCAGTGGTGGGTCTCTTGGTGGTGGGTCCAGCGTGGGGGCCAGCACCCGACTCCTCTCATCAGCCACGTCCTGGTCTTCAGGCAGTGCTGGGGCTTGTCCGCAGGCCTCCAACTACAGTGGAGACAGAAATGGTTGGTTAGGTCCAGCTGGAGCGGGGGGACGGGGCCTGTCTGATGGACCAAGATGAGTGGAAGTCAGTTTGGGCCCCGAGTGCTGGGCTCAGAGCTTCTGTTTGGATGGCTGAGGCCCTGGGACCCATGTCTCTTGGGCACGATGTACGGTTCAGGCGGGGCTAAGGACCTGAAGTGACATGTGACCCTGCCATGTTGTGTTTCGCTGTTGAGAGGAGAGAGAATTCCAGGACAGGCAGACAGACCTGGTGTTCCGGGGTGCCTGGCTTTTGCTGAGGAGCAGGGCCCCCACACTGCACCACTCAGGTGTACCAAGGGCCGACTCTCAGGCTGCCTGGCAGTACCCATGGACCCTGCCCTGCCCTGTGGTTGTGGCCTGAATGTCCACCTGCTGGGGAGCCCCAGGTATGGGGAACCAAAGGAGGCAAAGGTGGGAGACAGAGCAGCCCCTCTCTAATGGACCCAGAGTCCTCCGGGAGACACTTACCAGTGTCCGCTGGCCGTGGGAGGCACAGACTAGGGTCTTGAGCCTCCATAGAAGGCTGGTCTCCATCAGGAACAGCAGGGTAAGGTACACAAAGCCAGAGACGGCCATGGAGGTGACGAACCTGCCGACGCCCGGGGCTGGCCATGCGTAGAAGTTCTCCTGGTACTCAATGTCTGGGGAGGAGGGGGTAGTATCACCTTGCACTCCACCCTCCCTCCTGAGCCTCTGGCCCAGTGTCTGCTGAGCCAGGAGGAAGAGACCCACCCTGCTGTCACATCTGAGCACCCAGTGGGGCCCTCCCCGGGCTGCAACACTCACGGTACTTGCGGCAGTAGTGGGCGGCCACCTCGGAGGACGTGCAGTACCTCCTGGTCTCGTAGTTCTCGTAGAAGCTGCTGACAGCCATGCCCAGGCAGTGGTTGGGCAGCACCAGGAACACCTGGTCCAGGGTTCTAGAGAGTTCTTCCAGCTTGACCGCTGTGGTGAGGACAGGTGGGCCAGTTGACTCTGTGGGCACGACCAGTGGACGTCTGCCAGGGTGTGCGTCCCCCGAGCAGTCCTGGTCCCTCCCCGGAACACACCTGGGATGCGCATGATGGTGACCACAAGGAAGGTGGCAACACCCGAGAGCACGTTGAAGATGGTCAGCCGTGTGTAGGCGGTGGCCGCGCCCGAGAACAGGAAGCTCATGAGGTACATGAGGGGAATGACGGCCCAGCCGTATAGCAGGAGCAGCACCAAGGCGTCGGCTTCGTGGCCATCCCTGGTGAATGCACGCACGTCGAAGGCTTTAAACACCACCTGGGGCACAGACACGGGGCTCAGGGATCTGGGATCTGGACCCTCGCCGGGCTGTCATCAACTGCTGTGGCAGCCTCAGCTCCGGTCCCTCTATAACCACGGTCCAGGCACCAGGACTGCCCACCCTATGCAGAGCTGAGGGGACAGCTCCCAAGTCAGGCTCTGGGCAGTCCACCTGGCCAGCCCCTCACTTGCAGGGGACACCCCCTCCCCATGGCTGTGTTCACGTGTTCACCAGCAGCAGCAGGCTGGGGACCAGGAAGGTGAGGAGGTCCCACAGCAGCGCGGGGAGCCAGAAGGTCATCACATGGACGCCGCTGACAAACTGGACGTGTTTGGCTTGGGTGGCCCTCTCACTGACCGCCAGAATGGAGAAGGTGCTGGCCAGGAATGCCATGGCAAAGAGCAGGTTGAGGGCGATGTCGAAACCCTTCCGACCCCTGTGGATTGGGAGAGCTGGCTGGTCAGGGAAGGCTGGGCAGAGACCCCCCACCCCCAAGCCACAGTGTCATTTGTCAAGCTGACTTCCCCACTGTCTCCTATGAGACCCTACCCTCCTCTACACAGCCCTGAACCAGACTTGTTGCTCGCCTGGCTGGTCAGGGGCAGCAGGGATCTGGATGGATGGGGAGGGGTGCACGCACTCGCTGAACTGGTCCTTGGCGGCCTGCAGGGCACTCCGGGGCTGAGGGTAGTTGGCGACGGTGATGGAGGCCTGAGAGCCACAGAGCAGCTTGAAGAGCAGGTTGTCCACCAGGGCCAGGGCGGTGGCCGGCGAGTGGTAGGCCTGGTTGTTGAACAGAGCGGTGACGACCGTCCGCTCCCCCACATCTCTGAAGGATGTGGCCACCAGGCAGCGCTCGTTAAAGCCGCCACCTTCCACAGATGCCCTGAAGATCAGGAATTCCTCCAGGTCACCTGGGGACAATGGCTAGGTCAGCTTGCGGGAACCAGTTGGCCAGCAGGTCCACTCAGACCCAGCCAGCAACAGGACCTGAAGTGGCCGATGCTGCTGAGAGCCCCACCCCACTGGACGGGTAAGGATGACAGCGTCACTGCAGGACCCACCAGGTCCAGCGAGGGGAAAGGACCGTCCTGTCAAGAAGGACACAGTGTGCACGCAAGGGGAGAGCTGCAGTCACAAGTGACAGTTGCTAAGAGCCCCATGGGGAAGGGACAGAACCCCACAGCCCACACACTCAGTGAGGGAGTCAAGCCCACCAGATGCCCAGATAGGCCGACCGAGGAGGCTCGGCAGCTTCTGGAGCCCAGCTCTGGCCCGTGGAGCTGCGCTGGCCATACAGCATGGACTCCCTGTGGGGACACAGGAGCTGTACCCCCAGATATGCTTCTCCATGTCTTATAGGGCCTGCGGCAGCAGCAATCCATCCTGGCCCACGTGCCCCTGGGCCCCAGGCTGCCCTTACCCAGAACCTCCCGGGGCTCCTGGCCCTCAGCCTGCAGCATGTCCCTCAGACGCTCTGAGAGCTGTTGATCCAGTGACGACGTCCCGGCAGCTGAGAAGGGCACCACGGTGCTGCCGTACTGTCCCAGGGTCAGTTCTAGGCTGGGGTCGTCCAGGATCTCCGAGGAGTAGTTGATGGACAAGAGGGCCAGGGTGAGGCATGTCACAGGGACCAGGACCTGGGCAGCCACCACCTTCCACTCCCGCCAGCTGTAGGTGGCTTTCTTCACCAGCATGGCCCAGAACTGCTGGCAGCGCAGGGTGAGCTGTGGATGGGGAGACGCCGGGTCCCTCAGGCTCATGGGGGTCTGTCCCCCTCCACCCGGTGTGCCTGAGCTGGAGGAGAGCCTACTGCAGTGCCCAGCCTCGCCTGCACATGCTCCACAGGCTGTATGTCAGACAGAGGCCGACATGCCTTCCTCACAGTCAGCATGAGCAGACCAGGGGCCAGCCACTTCCCACGTCCCCAGTGCCACCTGTCATCGTGTACCCAGGCCAGCTCTGTGCTTTCCTGACCGTGCTATGGAGCAGGGTGCGAGGCTTCCCTCTGACCCAGGAGGCCAAGGCGGCCCCATTTCCTGCAGAGCCTTGAGCAGTGGAGACAGACGCTCACCCCGCTGTTGAGCTGGATGGCGGGACAGTCCTCCTCGATGAGGACGCCAGTGCTGTCACTGGCGTCCATCACGCCGCACAGGTGGTTGTCCACTGCCCAGTCGCTTGCCCGCCGCTCATGCTGGTACTGCAGGGCTGGAAGCTGGATGGCCTGGATGTCCATGCTTGTGTCCACTAGCTTGCCGACCCTGGGCCGAGACATGCGGGTACTGGTCAGTTGGCTCCCGGAGGGAGAATGCCATCAGCTTCTGAGCTGGTTCATTCACTGGTGTGTTCGTTCATTAGTTTGTTCGTTCAGTGAGTGTGGGCCAGCAGGGGCAGAGGCTGGGCCCAGAATGAGCTGGAGCCCAAAGGAGACAGAAACAGGAACACTCCAAGCATGAGTGAAAGGGGAGACCCATGGTTATGGTGTGACCCAGCTAGTCTGCTCCTTGCAAGCCACCCAAGGGAGATGCCCCTGTGTCCACAAATAGCACTGCTCATACCAGCTAACCTCTTTCAGTCCATCCATTTACCATTCAGCAGTCTCTCATCCACCTACCTCTCTGTCCACCGTCAGTCATGGCTCCATCAGTCATCCACCATCAACTTATCAATTATCAATATATCATCCATCTGTCATCTAGCAACATATCAATCATCTATCCATCCCTTTATTGCTCATCTATCAACCTGTCCATCATTTATCCACCCATCACTCATCGATCTATCAACCTGTTAAACGATCATCCTTCTATTGATCTAACAGCCATCTAGCTACCTGTCAATCAATCATCTATTCATCTATCTCTTTTTCACTTACCTCTACCAACCTGTCAGTTAGTCATCTATAGATCTATCCTACATCTACCAACCTGTCAATCATCTAGTAACAGTCTGTCAGCTAATCATCTATCGACTTACCACTCATCTCTCTCATCTATCAACCTGTCAATCATCTATCTAACAGTCTGTCAGCCAATCATCTATCTACCTATCATCCATCTCTCTCCCTATCCACGTGTCAGTGACATCTAGCTACCTAGCATCTGTCTGTGGGTGTCTGAGCTCACGACCTTGGTGACTGCTTTATCCTTGCACTTTAGAAAGCCCGTCCACGTCACTGAGGCTGAGACTGACCGCAGGAAGACCTCCTCCATGGTGGTAACAGAGGCCCCGAAGCTCGCGATGCCCAGCTCCTTCTGCTTCTTCTCCAGCTTAGCGAAGAGAGTTTCAAACCTGCACATAGAAAGACGTGGAGGTCAGCCCCATTTCTGTGACTTCCTGGGTAACTCACCCTCTTCCTACAGGATGGAGCAAGGGCAAGGACGGGTAACACCTTGAAACAGCATTTAGAAGAAGGTTAACAAGTTGTTTCACATGGTTTAGTTCCGACATGATGCCTTGTGAGTGCGTTGACCTGCTGGCAACCCTCTGACAACTTACTCAAAACAATAAAAACCAACAGTGAGGAATCGGTTGGATGTTCATTTGATCACAGTGCAGGGAAACACACACTTTCTGAGCATGAAATGAATACAAGAGAGCCTGAAGGAAAAGTTATCCAAAGACTAGGCTGACTGGTTAGCTAGAGTGGTGGGACCCCAGGGTGATGGCCCAACACCCTGCAGGTCTGGAAGTAACTCATTCCTGTGGCTCACCCTTTAGCCAAACAATGTTGTTGTTGCATGCAGTGCAATCGAGTTGGTTTCAACTCATAGTGACCCTATAGAGGGGTTTCAGAGAGTGGTTGGTGGGTCTAAACAAACGACTTTGAGGTTTCCAGTCTAGTGCTGATCCTGTAATGCCACACCAGGAATTCATTCAAACTACAGGCCTACAAGGTGAGTAACAACAGAAGGGACACACACACTCCTTAGAACAGTCAACCACACAACATCACAAGGGCACCAAACGCCTGGGGAGAAAGCTCAGAAGGCAGGAAGGGATGGGGAAACTCAGGGAGGAAGCGGGGAGAGAGCTGGTAGGTTGTAGGAGCTGCAGTTCGTGACATGGAAACAAATGTGCATCAGTTGCTAAGTGGAAAGCCAATTTGCTCTGTCAAATTTCACCCAAGTCATAATTTAAAAATTTTGACTTCAAGACCACAGCCTTGGTGTAAAATAGATGCCCTTCAAATTCTGCTGACGGGCAAGTGAAGCAGCAATCAAGAAAGGCACTTGGCCAGATCTGCCCCACCACTGGGGGCCCACCCTCCGAGGGGACTGGACAGTAGAGACAGAGTCAGCACAGTTCTGGGGTACAGCTGTAGAGGGTCAGACCTTGAATTGTACTCCTCCAATAGCTCTGTGGCTGTCTCTGTCCCTGTCGAGTGGTCATGCTTGGTAATGCCATCGGTCAGTGAAAAGGATGACCCCCCGCCACCCGAGATGGATGGAAGCAGACACCAACTGTAAGCAGTGTGTTATTGTGTCAGACGAAGAACTACTGGGAGTCGGGACCAACTTGGTGACATCCCCTAACACACGCTCCGGTAATAGTGCTCAGTTCTGCAGGGGTCAAAGTGGCCTTGTTGGGGGGAACAGGGATTTTCTGGGATTTTCTGATCAGTGATTTTGGGAGGCGAGGTGGGGTACAGTGGAATGAGATCAGTCCTGCCGGGTACAAACCTGCTTGGTACCTGTGCCCCTCCTTCCCTCCTTTTTGGAGCAGGAATGGCTACCTCGCATCTGCTCCCCACTGTGCTATGGAAGCAGATCCCACGGGGTTGCAGGTGGAGAGGGGTCTGGTTTAGGCAGTTCTGAAGGTGGGAGCTTGAACTCCGAGTAGGTGCTGGAAAGGTGGGTCAGACCTTTGGGGGATGCTTGGATAATGACCAGGAGGCCCTGGTGGTGCCGTGAGTTAAGCATTGGGCTCCTAACAGAAAGGTTCAAACCTTGCAATTGCTCTACAGGAGCGCTATGAGGCTGACTGCCTCCATAGAGATTTATGCTCAGAATGTCCTCCTCTGTCCAGAGGGTCACTATGAGCCAGTCTCACCAGGCTCCCTATGACTGTACCTGTATGTGCTCTCTCTGGGCAGGATGAAGGAGAGCTCGGCCCCGGCATTGCTCTCTAGGGCAGCATTGGGAACATGGTGGTGGACCAGCCGGGAGATGGCCTCTGGGTCACAGTGGGGCTCCTTCACGAGAGTCATGTGGTACCCCGCGCCTGGAACACGAGGGAACACTTGTGAGTCTTCTCTTGGGCCGCGATGAGCTAAATCAGACATGGACCGTCCTGGGGTTCCCTCTGCTCCCCAGTTGGGTGGGCATCACAGTCAGTCTCCCCACGTGGTATAGGTGACACAAACTCCCAGCGCGAGGCCTTGGGTACCAAGCAACACCGGCCAGAAAAGCAAGCCTGAGTCAGGGGTGTACATTTTGTGATACTGCCCTCCCACGCTGGCCTGAGCTCACTGGCTTCTCTGGTCGAGGTGCCACACGTGGACAGGGCTCACCCACATACTGAGCCGCCACTGACCACTGGTGTTGGGCCACAGCTACCCCAAGTCCTAACCGCAAGTCGGCTCTCCGTCCTCTTCCCATTGTCACAGCCAGAAGGAGGGGAGCAGACAGGAGACCCAGAGAAGGTCTCCTATCTCCTATCTGATTGGCCCAAGTGCGGCTTCAAGGGACGCTGACCTGGGTGGAGCTGTACACCCCTCCCCACTGGTACGCTCACCGTATTTCTGCTTGAGGAAGAGCGAGGACCCACAGCACTGCAGCTCCCCCTTGGCCATGATGGCAATGCGGTCCCCTAGCAGGTCAGCCTCATCCATGAAGTGGGTGGTCAGCAGGATGGTGCGGTCACTCTTCTGCTGCTGGAGCACATCCCAGATGGCCCTCCGGGAGATGGCGTCCATACCCGAGGTGGGCTCGTCCAGCATCAGCACCTGAGCATGGTCACACAGGGTGGCCCGAGTTCAATTCCACAAGAGGGGCTTGGGACCACCCCACGCCAGGCTTCCTTTCTGCCCTCCCTCCTACCTTGGAGCCTGCGATCAGAGCAATGCCGATGGACAGCTTGCGCCTCATGCCCCCGCTGAGGAACTTGCTCAGGGAGGACTGTTTTTCCTCCAGGTCCAGGATGCGTAACATCTGCCTGACTTCCTCCCAGCACTTCTGTAGTGACAGGCCTTTCAGCTGCAACAGCGAGCCACAGGGAGGTCAGAGGCTCTGGTGAGAGGCTGGTCCCTCAAACAAGCACAAAATAGACACAGAGGGCTGCACAAGACGCTGACAACCTTCAGAGCAAGGGAGCCACAAGAATGCTTTGTGTTTTGAACCAGGTAATCATGGGACTGAGGAGCCCTGGTGGCACAATGGGTTAAGCGCCGGACTGCTAACCTCATGGTGGGGTGTTCAAACCCAGCCTTGGCCACCCTATGGAATAGTCCTATTCTGCTGTGTAGGGTCACTGAGTTGGAATAGACTCTACAGCAGTGCATTAAAAGGTCTAAACCCTATGACCAAGTAGGGTTTGTCTCAGGAATGGGGATGTTGTTCAACATGGAGAACATCAGTGTAACACAAACTCACAATACAATCAGAAATAAAACCAGGGAGGTCGGGGGCTTTCATGAGAGGCCGACTCCCCAGCACACTTCTCTCCAGAAACCTGTCTCCTCAGGACACTTCTCTGCTTGGGGCCCCAGCTTCTGGGCTCACCTGGGCATAGAAGTACAGGTGCTCTGCCACCGTCAGGTCATCGAACAGGACGTCATGCTGGGGACACAGACCCAGAGTCTTCCGGATCTGAGGCATGTCCTGTGAGATCTCGTACCCACTGATATGCGCCCGTCCGCTTGTCGGGGGGAAGAGACCTAGGACCCACAAGAGGAACCCAAGAGTTTAAATTCTGTCAGAAAGGACAGCGGGGTGGCACCGGGGTAGTGAGCCTGTTTTATCTACATTGCTTTTCTGAGTGGCGAGTTGGGCTCTGGGGCCTGTAGCTGAGACTGGACGGTCCTCCCCCAGGCACGCGAGCTCACCCGTGTGTGGTAAAGAGCTGGATGGCACAGTACAGTCTCTCAGGGTGGGAAAGAGCGGAGCTGGGTGGCTGCCTCAGGGGCACGTTCTGGAAGAGCTGACTTTGTGCTGGATTTTGATGACATGCTTCATGGGACACCAGAAGTGGCTTGTTTGCTAACTAAGTGTATTTACTGACTGGGTGGAGGGCAGAGCCGTGTTGCTAGAGGGGCTCCCTACCTCTCGGGGTCCACAGTGCTGCCAGACTGGGAGAGCCCCCTCCTCCTTCCTGCAGTCCCAAGGCCACAGAAGGGAGGAAACTACGCAAGGAGGCCATGGCCTGGGCTAGCTAGCAATGGCCAAGCAGCAGCTGCCGGCTGCAGTGGGAGGCGTGAAAGGCTCCCAGTGAGTGAGATGGGGTAGTGGTCTGTCTGCCCTGCACCTGAATCCCCCACTGAGTGTGGACAGTACAGTGGTCTCCCCAATGGCCGGATCTCCATGAGCTTGGACAGAGTGGGGGTCTGTCTCTCCCGCTCCCCCTGTAAGCTTGGACAAAGTGGGGGTCTGTCTCCCCTGGTCCCCCCATGAACTTGGACAAGGTGGGGTCTGTCTCCCGTTCCCCCTGTGAGCTGGGACAGAGTGGGGGTCTGTCTCCCCTGCTCCTGGTTCACCTGTGAGCATGGACAGGGTGGTGGTCTTCCCGGCACCGTTGTGACCCAGCAGGACCGTGATCTGCCCTTCATACAGGTTCAGGTTCAGGTCCTTGACAGCTGCCTTGCCTTTAGTTCCAACTCTGAACACCTGTAGGAAGGCAGGGGCCACCCTGTACTCCCTTGGGCTCTGAGGCACATCACCCACCCTCTCTGGCCATGCACGCAGCTTGGCTGTTGAGTGTGAGGGTCCTGGTCATACAGCACTTCCTGGTCACCTGGGAAGGCCCAGGGTCCCTGGATCTCAGGAGGTATCTGGCAATGAGTGTTTACTGGATAGCTGCACCTGGAGTCTGGGATGCCCCATGCCCTGGACCTGCACAGAGCCACTGCCTTGGCCCGACCCCGCCCGGCCCACAGGGAGGCGGCACCTTGGACAAGTGCTTGATCTTGATCCCAGCCACCAGGTCCTCGGGCTCAGCCTCGAAGAACTCGGTCTTCAGCGCTTTCTCTGGGTCTTCGTCTTCGTCCTCCTTCCCCAGGATAGTCCTCTGGCTTCCGCACCAGTACGAGGGCTAGGGCAGAACGAGACGCAGCAAGGCGGTCATTCACACCCACTCATCTGGCTAGAGAGACCACCAGGTCAGCTGAAGCCTGGTGCACTAGTGGCAGCAAGTCTGAGAGTCAGGGTGAGTTCTCACTCAGTTCCCAGGTCCCACTGGCCCGTGGGAGGCTGTGGGCCTCCGAGTCTGTCTGCCTTCTCCAGAGCTGATACAACAGAAATACCAGCAGGCCTTTTTTCTGTCACAGCTGAGGAGGCTAGACGTTTGAATCTAGAATTCTATCACCGTCACTGATAGAACAGTGGTGATTCAAACAACCAGAGGAAATACAGCGGGAGGCTGTTTGGGATTGAACTGTGTCCTCCCAAAGGGTATGTTTAAGTCCTAAATCCCAAAACCTAAGACCATGACCTGGTTTGGAAATAGGGTCTGTGCAGATCCACGGGCATGGCTGCTTTACTGCGAGCCTCAGATGCTGCATTTTCCACAACCGGAAGGCTGATGGGACCCCTGTGCCGAGTACGGCACCACGTTTCTAGCGGCGTGTGCTCACTTGGGTCTGTGCACCACGTCCTCGTCAGGCTCACAATCTTTCAGGCTTTCACCATCAGGCTGTTACACACTTAGTACAGACAACAGTCTAGCCTCAACATCACTTCATAGGCACAGGGGAACACATCATCCGTGTGAGTTGCTTTCGTGTGGTGGTAGGGAACGAAGCCACAGCTTCCCCGGGGTCTACCTGTACTTAGGTTGCGGTCACACTGGAATAGGGTGGCCCCAGTCCAATGAGCCCAGCGCTGTGGCATAAGCACTGGACTGGTAACCGCAAAGTCAGCAGTTCACACCTACCAGCCACTCTTAGAAATCATATACAGGGTCGCTGTGAGTAGGAACTGATATGAAGGCACGCAACAACAATCCAATAGCTGGTGCCCTTATAAGGAGAGGAGACAGAGACACAGGAAATACCACAGGACGGTGGGGGTGGAGCCCAGAATGGCCTCGGGTCCCAAACACAGGCAGGCACATAGCAGGACCCTCCAGAGGAAGCCCGGCCCTGCCTCCGTCCCCAGGAATGAACAGATTTCAGTGTGTCACTTTAAGTACTGAGTCACAAAATGAACAGAGAGCAGGACCGCACTCCACCCAGCCGGGGACATGGCCTCTGCGTCATCGCTGGAACCAGACCTATCTTTAAATATATGCATACTCCCAAGTATGTAAAACAAAATTTGTAAATACAGATAGGTGAACACCTAAAAATATATTTATTTATAAATATGTTGTTGTTGCTGTTGGTAAGTGCTGTGAAGTCAGTTCTGACTCACTGTGACCCTTAGAGGATTTCCAAGGAGCAGCTGGTGAGGGTTTGAACTACTGACCTTGTGGTTTGCAGTCCAGTGCTGATCCTACAGTGCCACACCAGGACAGACACACACATATTGTAGACACACACATATCGGCATTTAAGATGTCAGAGATACAACGTTTAGGCGAGAAAGCAAGTTTCGATCATTCGTACAGTAAGATTTCATTGTGTAAAAGCAAACGTGTATGTGTATCATATATGTGCATGTGTTATAGACATGTATGTGTGTTATATAGGAGCCTTGGTGCACTATAGGATGAACCATTGACTGACAGGTCAGCAGCACGGAGGGTGGACGATGAGGTTTTTAGCTGCCATAAAGACCTCCTGCCTCGGAAGCCCCATGCGGGGTCACCACGAGTCCCGATGGCTCAATGCAGTAGGTCTGAATGTCTTTCTCTGTGTGCTGGTATTTGGTGTGCATGCTAACACACATACAATGGGCCCGGTGGTGCAATGGCTAATTGCTTGACCACTAGCAGTACAGACGCAGCCCGGCTTTGGCACAGATGGGTGTTATGAGCTGGACTAAAAGTTCCACACGAGCATGGTCTGTGTGAGCAGGCTCACACCGGAGTGTCCCATGTCTGTTCTGTCGGGTGGACGGGACTATCTGTCCCAGCAATGAGACGGTTCTCACCATCAGTGTGTGGCTTTGTAGACAGAAAGCCCAGTAAGATGCTGCTCACAAGACAGCAAACACAACCAGGGTGGTGAAGGGTGCAGCAGGTTTGGAAAGACAGAGGTTGTTAGGACCCTGAGTGGCCAGCAGTGGCCAGCGTGTCCTGGCTATGGGGGTGTCAGGCCCTTTATCGCAGGATGTGCCCGGGGCACGCCACCACCCGCAAGAGACCATCAGTGCGAAGGGCGGTGGTGTCACAACTCACCAAGAGGAAAAAGTACCAGGGCTGGGGCACCCCGAACTGGCCAGGCCAGACAGCCTCCACGTACCAGGCCACCAGCCCGTAGAGGGCAGCATCAACCAGCAGCATGCCCAGCACCTGCCCAAACGAGAAGTCATCGTCCACGTTGACTGGGCTTAGGAGGTCGTGCCACTGCAGGCCTGCCCCTGGAAGACACATGGGGACACGGTGGTACTGGGTGGCCCAGGCCGATGGTCCGTACGGCCCTCTAAACGGTCATGCAAAAGCCAGTGCTCATCTTTCCCTCTTGATTTTCCAACATACGTGTAAGTAGTCTCCTTTTAGGTCAAGGGCAAGTTATAAATTGGTAGGTTACAAAACCAGCCGATGACGCTCATTCCATCAGTAGCCGGGCCACGTGCATGACACATGCATCCCTGTGTACCTACATGGCTGTATTGTTATTAGATGCTGCCTGTCAATCAGCTCTGACTCAATAGAAGGAAGGACCCCCTGGTCCTTTGCCAGTCTCGCAGTCGCTGCCATGTCTGAACTCATTGGTACAATCACGGTTTCAATTCTTCTCCTTCAGGGTCTTAACCTTTTTTTGCTGACCTTCCACTTTACTAAGCATGAGGTCCTTCTCCAGGGACTGGTCCCTCCTGATGACATGTCCAAAGTCTGAGCGATGAAGTCTTGCTATCCTGGCTTCTAAGGAGCATTCTGGCTGCACTTCTTCCAACACAGATTGGTTTGTTCTCTGGCAGTCCATGGGACTTTGAATATTCTTCTCTAACCCCATAACGCAAATGCATGGATTCTTCTTTGGTCTTCCTTACTCACTGTCCAACTGTCACATGCATATTGAAATACCATGATTGAAGATACCATGACTTGGGCCAGGCGTACCTTAGTCTTCAAAGTGACATTTTTGCTCATGTATACATCACATATTTATTACATATACATGCAATCCCCGGATTACGAATGAGTTCTGTTCCAAGCCTGTCTTAAGTAGATTGTATACTTAAGTTGGAACCACTTAGGTAGGGTTAGGATCTTACATAAGATAGTAAAATGTTTGTTTTAGTATATAGTATATTTAGTGCAAACTTAGTATATTTAGGAGCTCTCGTAGCATAGTGGTTATGAATTAGGCTGTGAACCACAAGGTCAGCAGTTCGAAACTACCAGCTGGTCCGCGGGAGAAAGATGAGGCTTTCTGCTCCCGTAAAGATTTACAGCCTCGGAAACCCTGTACAGGGTCGCTATGAGTCGGAACCAACTCCACGGCACATAACAACAACAACAACAACATATTTAGTGTACCTTTCTTTAAAAAAAAAAAAAAATTAAATACTTACAGATACAGTAAAATACGTTTACCATAATACAGTGGTAATAAACAACCTTGTTTGCCGAAAGTGAAGAGGACTTAAAATATTTACTGATGAAGATCAAAGACCATACCCTTCAGTATGGATTGTATCACAATATAAAGAAAACAAAAATCCTCACCGCTGGATCAATAAACAAAATTCTTATCAATGGAGAAAAGACTGAAGTTGTCAAAGACTTCATTCTTCTTGGATCAACTATCAACACTCACGGAAGCAGCAGTCAAGAAAACAAACAATGCATTGCATTAGGCAAATCTGCTGCACAAGACCTTTTTAAAGTGTTGAAGAGCAAAGATGTCAGCTTGAGGACTAGGGTGTGCCTGACCCAAGCCAGGGTATTTTCAATAACCTCATATGGATGTGAAAGCTGGACAGTAAATACGGAAGATCATAAAAGAACTGATGCATTTGAGTCATGGTGTTGGAGGAGAATATTGAAAGTGCCATGGGCTGTCAAAAGAACAAACAGATCCGTGTTGGAAGAAGCGTAGCCAGAGTGCTCCTTGGAGGCCAAAATGGCCAGACTTCGTCTCTCATACTTGGGACATATTATCAGTAGGAACCAGTCACTGGAGAAGGATATCATGTTTGGTAAGGTGGAGGGTCAGAGAAAAAGAGGAAGATTCCCCAGTGAGATGGACTGGCCAAGTGGCAGCATCAGTGGGCTCAAGTGTGGCAACAATTGTGACGTTAGCCCAGGATTGGGCAGTGTTTCGTTCTGTTGTGTGTAAGGTCTCTATGAGTCGGTACCGAACATTTAACAAGTACAACAGTAATGTTTGGATGGCACCTAACAACAACAACAACCATGCTTTGATATGTGTTGCAAAGTAGAGCTCATTTGTTTTTATGAACCACCACATTTGCCATGAACTTTAAAATAATACGCTTTACGTAAGGGGTTATAGGTTTTACATAATTCAGACATTCCTAACCCGTTGCTCTCTCGTTGATTCCTACTCATAGCGATCCCATGTGTCGCAGAGAATCGAGCTCTACGGGGTATCCATGGCCATGACCTTCCGGAAGCAGATCACCAGATCTTTCTTCTGAGGTAACTCTACTTAGGTTGGACCCTCCACATTCCTGTTTAGCAGTTACACACGTTAATCACGTGTACCATCCAGGGACTCCTATGTACATGTACACATGCATCTATACGTGACACATACATGTATATGCGCCAAAGTGAAAATCAAACCTGCTGCTATTGAGGCGGTTCTGTCCTGCATTATTAACCCTTTAGGGCAGAGGAACTGCCCCACAGTGTTTCCTAGGCTGTTGTCTTTACAGAAGCCGACCACCCACCACTTCTCTCTGCTGTGGACGGGTTGGTGGGTTGGAACCACAGATCTTTTTGGTTAGCAGCTGAGCATGAAAGCACTGCATCACCACGTCTCCTCACACACATGTACACACACGACAGGGGCTTCAGAGGACGTGCACGTAATGGAAGGCTTGTTCTGACAGTGAAATCTCTGAGACCCGTGTGAAGGTGGGTGCTAACAGAGCTGCTGGTGGTTTGTCTTCTCGTTGGCTGCCCTCCTCCACCTGCTGGATCCAGCTGCTCCCCAGGAGCTGCTCCCTTTGTACCTTCAAAGGGCTGGAGCCTCACTGTTTGGGAAGATGTTCACTACAGAACTTTTAGAAAAAGAGAGACAGACCCAAAGTGCCCCAGGTTAGATGCCTCCTTATAAATGGCTTTTTAAAAGTATTTAAACCCTGGAAGGGGCTGCCCACCTGCAAAGTCTACAAGATATCGACAGATTTCTAAACACAGGGGGCTTCAAACAGTCATGGGAAAATGTCATTATCTTTTCACTCCATTTTCCATGAATTTTTTGAAACCCTTTCTATTTAAAAGCTCCTGTGTCAGAAGACGTTGCCAACTAAGAAGAAAGTCCTAAATGGAGATTAAGTGACTCTGGCTGCTCCTGCCTCTCCCCTGTCTCCTTCCAAAGACACATTTGGAAGCTTAGCCAGTAGGAACCTCATGGCGGGAAGAGACAGCGTGTCTAGATGGAGAGGGGCTGAGCCCACCCTGAAATGCTTGGGGCTCAATCTCAAAGAAGGTGGCTGTTTACAGCTCCTACATATGCCGCTGTGACTGCCACCCACCCAGGGGAGCACCTGGCCGTCCACAGAGTGAGAGACAGGCTGGGCTCCCAGGAGAACAGCCGGTGTGATTCCCAAGAGGTGCGTCATCTCCCTCTCTGGAGACTCTCAGCAGGTAAGGGGTTAAACTAGGTGCCCTTTTTCATCCTGACCAAGGCTTTGCTTTCATCAATCACGTGTGTCCACCAACCACAGGATTTGTAAAGTGGGAACCATTCTCAGCCCAAAGAGGGGCTATGGCATATGAGAACTTAGAAAAGTCCTCACAAACCAAGGCGGAACCTGGCTGGCCCATCAAGCCTCCTGGCTTCTACTTTAGTCCTTTCAAGGGCCCCCATGGGGTTCTGGGGTCCCTACAAGGGTGCTGAGGGGACACCAGGAGGAGGCGGAGGGGGGAAGAAGGGTGGTGATAAGCGGACCACCGTTTCACCTGGAGCTTAGGGTGGACTTCAAGTCCCAAACCCTGGGAATCTGAGCTCTCTGGAGGGTGATGCTGCTGAGTGTCTTTAAAAAGCAGGGAGTCCAACCTTGGGGGCTACACTTTTAACCACGACCCACTCGAAGCACTTGGACAGTAGCTACTCCAAGGCCGAAAGCAGACTCACTGCATCTGAGTAGATCAGCTCTGTCCTGAGTGACCCCATAGGACAGAGCAGAGCTGCGCCCCGGAGTTCTCCAGAGGAAAGGCCCGACACCTCACCCCTGCACTGAGAGTACGAGAACGCTGAAGGTTACCGGTGTAGGACACTGGACATGAGGTGGTTTCTACTGTCTATAGGCACACCTCCACAGGATAAATACTGACTGCAAACTGCAAGGTCAGCAGTTCAAACCCATCAGCCACTCCTCAGAAACCCTATACAGGGTCGTTATGAGTCGAACAGACTTGACAGTACCTAACAAGCATACTTTGGAGATGTTGCAGGTTCGGTTCCAGACCACCGCGATAAATAAAATGGCTATCACAACGAAGTACTCCCACCTGTTACAGGCCTTGCCTGCTGAGCATCGGAGCGGGGGGCGCCTCTGCCAAGACACCCCCTAAGTGCTGAGGAACCAAGAGGTGAACACTCACCTTTCGCTTCAAACTTCCCTATGAGTTGGGCCCCCATGGCCATGGCCACGTTGGACAGGAGGCAGGAGAGCAGCTTCTGGTTGAGGGTCATCCAGTTGTAGCGGGGCGCCACGAAGAAGTACGGGATATAGGTGAAGAAGTAGAGGAAACCACCGATGGCTGCCGCCATGTTGGCTGTAGGTGGAGAGAGGGACACTCCAGTCCTCACCCCGGACGCCAGATGCAATGTCCAGGTGCCTGTTTACACTGCTTATCTGACGTCACTAAAACTGAGCTGGTTCAGCCTCACGGCTCTCCTGGTCTGCCTGATCTTGTACACTCATCTATGTTGTCATTAAGCAGGATGACTATGTCGTACCGTTCTGGGCACAGCACATAAGAGAACTGTCCACTGGGGCTTCTAACCGAGTGGAAGACAGACAGTAAAGGGGCAACGTGGTTAGGCATGGGGTGTGCTGGAAGCATTGTGGGACAAGGCAGAAAAGGGGGGGACAAGACACTGCCCAGGTGCCGTCCCATCCAGCCCTCCCCCTTTTGTCTCCTCCTTTCCCTCAACTCAGATTCTAGGCTGTTCCCAGACATCCTCTGACCCCCTTCTTATGGTTAAACTGTTTCCTCTAAAAAGACACGTTGGGTCCTCCCCTGAGACCTTTCGCACCTGGAAGTGAACTCGCCCTGTGACTCAACACTAGACTGGGCTACAGGGTGAGCAACCACAGCAGGGAGGCCTACTTCTTAGAACCAGCATTGGTCCAGGGAGGACGCTCAGAGGCAGGAACGGAGGGGGAGGGGAAAGGGAGCACAGGGAGGAGGTGGGAGGCATGATGCTATATTATGGGGGTGGCAGCAACCAAAATGTGTCTGAACTAACTGTCGAATGGAAACCTAATCTGCTCTGTAGTTTCATCCAATTCCCAACATAAAGTTAAAAACAGAGAAACAGCTGGGTCCTACCCTGTTACTAGTGAGCACCCCTGAACCTTGCTCAGAAATGGGCAGTTAGGGTTAACATGAACCCTAGTGGCACAGTGGTAAAGCAATCAATGTTCGAACAGAGGTCAGCGGTTCGAACTCACCCAGTGGCTCCTCAGGGGAAACACCAGGCCATCTGTTTCCATACAGAGTGTCCACGAAAGACACGAGAAAAAGCATCTTTGAAGCTAAGGGGTTGTCACTAAGTGCTGTCATAGTGACTCTATAAAAGGTTTCCAAGGAGCGGCTGGTGGGTTTGAACTGCTGACCTTGGGGTTAGCAGTCCAATGCTGATCCTACAGAACCACACCAGGAGTCCTGAAGAGTTACAGTCTAGAAAACTCTATGGGGCGGTTTTCTGTCACCTGGGGTTGCTATGAGTTGGAATCTACTCAGTGGTACCTAACAACAACATGCTAGGGCAGGGTGGGCCCTAATCCAGCATGAGTGGTCTCCTAGGAAAAGAAGTAACCAGACACTGGAGGGACCTGGGGTCACCAGAAGCTGGGAGGAGGCAGTGAGATGTTAGAATCGGTTCAGAGATTTCCGGCAGAGCCTCCAGGGGAGCATGGCCCTGAATACTGACACCTGAACGCCAACTCTGGCCTCCAGGATGTGAGAGCATGAGGTCCTCTCGGTTGTGGTGATTCGAATGGATGGTCCCAGCAGCTGCAGCTGCCCCCATCCCTGGAGTGGCCCGGAGTGGACAGCTGACCTTTGCTGAAGAAGGTGCTGACCATGAAGCTGAAGGAGATGGAGGAGACGGCAAAACACAGCAGGAAGAGCAGTACCAGCGAGGGGTCACTGTTGGGGAGCACCGCCACGTTCTTCTTCACCTGCGAGACCACACACGGCTGGCCGGGGTCTGCAACAGCTGGCCACCCTCAGGCCCCGCCGCCTGGGACTCCCTGTCACCCTCTTGGTGTAGGTGCTCCTCGCGGAGCTGGACACTTGCCTTGACACAGAAGAGCAAGGTCATGAAGGCGCTGGCGATGAGGAGAAGGCTGAAGGACACAAGGAACCAGGCGCTCCAGTGCAGCCAGTTGCTCAGCCCCATCATGCGCATGTGCTCCTGAGGAGGGGGAGGTGGTGGCGGCATCACAAGGAATCCCTGCACCCCTCCACAGCACCTCTGTGGTCTGCCCAGACAGAAGGGACCCCAGTCCGAGTGTTCACCAAGCTCCGGGTGACCACCCATGTGGTGCCAGCTCACCAGGACATCTTGGCTTCAGTGACTGACCCACAGCAGCACAAAGTCTACAACGACTTACCAGAATGGTCTCTCTTGTTGTTATTGTGGCTACTTGGCAAAGATTTGACTTAACCCCGTTAATGAATGAGGAGGCCAGTCCCCAGGGGCTGAGCCCTCAGGCCAATACTAGACAGGTCTATAGAGTGAGCAGCCACACAAGGAGGGAGAGTTCAGGGAGCATGCTGAGAGGCAGGAACGGAGGAGGAGTGGAAAGGGGAACACAGGGAGGAGGTGGGAGGAGTGATTCTACATTGAGCAGCATGCAGCCAAGGTCAGGAAACAAAATATGTCTGAACTAACCATCAGATGGAAAACAGATGTGCTCTGTAAACTTTCACCCAAATCATAATTAAAAAAAAAAAAAAAAAAGAGGAAGCCAGTAAGATGCGTGAAGCGGTTCAGAGGAGGTTCACAGAGCAGCCTGGCTGGATACAGAGCAGCAGGAGCTTTAAGGAAGCTTACAGTGAGTGCACTCCGACTGTCTGTCTGTCCTCAAGGCAAGGGTCCTCTGCATTCTACCTGACATCCTGGCTTCTATGGTCAAGAGGCCTTTGCCTGGATATCAGTTTCTACAGTTCACTGGATTGAACAAGAGCCCAAAGGTGCCCTGGTGTTTCAATGGTTAAGTACTTGGCTGCTAACCACAAGGTCAGTGGTTCAAACCTACCTAGAAAGACGCTCCATGGACAGTTTAGCAGTTTGTTCCCAGAGATTAAATTGGGGGGGGGGGCGGGGGAAGATATCCCACTGCTATTGAGGAGCTCTGGTTACGAATCGGGCTGCAAACCTTAAGGTCAGCAGTTCGAAACTACCAGCTGCTCCGCTGGAGAAATATGAGGCGTTCTACTCCCGTCAAGATTTACACCCTCGGAAACCCTGTACAGGGTCGCTATGAGTCGGAACCGACTTGAAGGCACTTAACAACAACAACATGGGGCTGTGCTTTCACGGGCCACCATGAGTAGGGAGGAGAGTCCTGCTGTAGCACTGGACCCTAAGGGCAGTTTGAACCTATAGGTGGTGGTTCAAACTCAACCAGCTGCTCCTTAGAAACCCCCTACGGGTCGCTATGAGTCAGAACCAATTCGACGGCAGTCAACAACATCAACGTGAGTTGGAATGTCTTAACACCAGGATGTCTTACCACCGATGCACACACCATTACCTTGAGCTTTCTCTCCTTTTCACGCACGACAGCCCGGATGATGCTGAGCGAGGTGTAGGTGAAGCTCAGCATGAGCAGCAAAGGAAGCTGGTACTGGACAGCCACGAGGAAGGGGTCCGAAATGAAAGGCGGGTAGGGGAACCTCTTGGCGATCACCGTGACCTTCTCGAACAGCTGATGCGCGGAGGCGTTAGCGTGGTACTGCATGATCGCTCTGTCCACAGCATGCTGCACGGTCAGGAAGCCTTCTCGGATGTAGCCTGTGTCGGAGAGGAAAGGACCTTGTGGTGTGTCGGACTGATACGCGGGCAGAGTGAAGGGCATGTGCGGGGATACCCAGGGTCCTGGAGAGAGGGGCCCACGACACACCAGAACCATTCCATTGAGTGCCCATCTGTGGGCAGTGGTACCGTCCTAGCCTTCCGTGTTACCACGGGAGACAGGAGAAAACAGCCGTGAAAGCCAGCAAGACACACAGAGCCATGTCTTCCAAATCCTTGATACAAATCCCTCCCTCTTCAAAAAGGTTTGGTGGAATTCTAAACAAAAAAACAAAACTCAGACCAAAAGTACACCAGGAAAGATGAAGCCAAAAGAATTAGGTTATAGAAAGTTGGGGCTTCAAAAAGGTGGGAAGGACAGGAGATCGCTTCTAGAGAGAGGTGATGGATGGTGGTGTGGGGGCGTCACCACAGAGAGACTGACGTCGACGAGGTGGACTCTGAAGGCAAGAAGGCTCAGTGCTTGAGTGTCTTATTGCTGCTGTAACAAATCATCTCAAACCCAGTGAGTGGTTTACAGCCAGGAGCTCTGGTAGCACATTGGCTACGAGTCGAGTCGGGTTGTTATCCTCAAGGTCAGCAGCCACTCTGTGGGAGAAAGCTGAGGCTTTGTGCTCCTGTAAAGACGTACAGCCTCGGAAAACCTGTGCAGGGCTCTGTGAGAGGGGCCTGAGCCCACGGCCCACCACCACCACCACCACCACTGGTGTTTCACGGCAGCAGTTACTCTCCCGCAGGTCTGGAGGTGAAGAGCCTGACACAGGTCTCAAACTCACTGCCATGGAGTCGATCCAACTGACAGCGAGGCTAGAGGGCAGAGGAGGACTGGCCCAGTTTCCACGGCCGTCATCTTTACAGATCCCGGCACGTCTTATTCATGGAGCAGCTGGTGTGTTTGAACCACCAACCTTGGATTAGCAGCCAGGTGCTTAATCACTGTACCACAAGGGCTCCTGCCATAGGTCTTAAGGAGCTAAAATGAAAAGGCTGCCATTCCATCCGTCCCCTTGAGGGGAGAATCCATTTGCTCCCTCTTCCCATCTTGGCAGTCCACTGCTTTGCTTGACTTGGGGCTCCTTCCTCCATCCTCAGAGCCAAAGAGCCCTTTCTCTAACCCTCCCATCTCACTATCATGGATTGAATGACGTCCCCCCAAATACGTGTCAGCTTGGCTAGACCACGATTCAGTGGTGCTAGGTGATGATTCTCTATGATGTGAGAAACCAATAGAAAGATTAAGGGTGGGCCCCTATACTCTTAATCCCCTCACAAGCCTGATGGGATGTCAGGGAGTTTCCCAGGGGTGTGGCCTGCAACACCTTTTCTTTTAAGGAGAGAAAAAGAGACATGCGCACAAAAGGAGGCGCCTGTTACCACCAAGAAAGAAGAACTGGGAGTTGAGTGGGGTCCCTGCTCTGTGAAGCTCCTAGAGTCAAGGGAGGAGAGGTCCAGGGACGCTGGGCCTACACAGGCTAAAAGGAGACAGGACCTTCCCCAAAGCCGGCTCTCTGAATGCAGACCTCTAGCCTTTTCAACCTTGACAGAAGGAATTTCGGGTTGTGAAAGCCGCCCATTTACGGTATTCCTTGTACAGCAGCACGAGAGAACAAAGACGCTCTCTCTCCTCCCACATTTACGGACACCTAGCTCTGGTAGCATGATTACAAATCGGGCTGTGAACCGCAAGGTCAGCAGTTCGAAACTATCAGCTGTTCCGCAGGAGAAAGATGAGGCTTTCTGCTCCTGTGAAGATTTATAGCCTTGGGAAACCTGTACAGGGTCGTTATGGGTCGGTACCAACTCCATGGTACATAACCAACTAACCAATGATGGCACTGGGACCCTGGTGGCTCAGTGATTAAGTGCTTTGCTGCAAACTGAAAGGTCATTGGTTGGAACCCTCCAGCCACTCCACAGGAGAAAGGTGTGGCTGTCTGTTTCCTCACAGAAGACAGCCTTGGAAACGCTGTGAGGTCACTGAGAGTTACAATGGACTCAGTGGCAGTGGGTTTTGGATTTTTGGTTTGATGACCACACTGGCCTCCCCCAAGTTACCCAGGATAAAATTCCTACTGTGACGTTTGCTGACTTGTTCTTGTTCGATGCCATCAAGTCGGTACCGACCCATAGCGACCCTGTGCACAACAGAACAAAACACTGCCCAATCCTGGGCTAACCTCACAATTATTGCCATGTTTGAGCCCATTGATGCTGCCACTTTGCCAATCCATCTCACTGGGGTCTTCCTCTTTTTCTCTGACCCTCCGCCCCTACCAAACATGATAGATATCCTTCTTCAGTGACTGGTCCCTCCTGATAATATGTCCATAGTATGAGAGATGAAGTTTGGCCATCCTGGCCTCCAAGGAGCAGTCTGGCTGCACTTCTTCCAACACAGATCTGTTGGTTCCTTTGGCAGCCCATGGCACTTTCAATATTCTCCTCCAACACCATAACTCAAATGAAGCAGTTCTACGGTCTTCCTTATTCACTATCTAGCTTCAGCATGCATATGACGTTATTGAAAATACCATAGCTTAGGTTAGGCACACCTTTGTCCTCAAGCTGACATCTTTGCTCTTCAATACTTTAAAAGGGTCTTGTAAAGAAAAAAAAAAAGGTCTTGTGCAGCAGATTTGCCTAATGCAATAACGTCATCTGATCTCTTGGCTGCTGCTTCCATGAATGCTGATGGTGGATTCAAGAAAAACGAAGCTTTTATAACTTCCATCTTTTCTCCATTGATAAGAATGTTGTTCACTGATCCAGTGGTGAGGATTTCTGTGTTCTTTACATTGAGATGCAATGCATACCGAAGGCTGTGCTCTTTGATCTTCATCAATAAGTATTTAACTCCTCTTCACTTTCAGCAAGCAAGGTTGTATCATCTGCATATCACAGGTTGTTAATGAGTCTTCCTCCAATCCTGATGCCACATGTTTCTTCATAGAACCCAGCTTCTTGGATGATTTGCTCAGCATACAGGTTGAATAAGTATGGTGAAAGAATACAACCCTGTCGCACACCTTTCTTAATTTTAAACCATTCGTGTTCACGTGTTCTGTTCAAACAACTGCCTCTTGGTCTATGTACAGATTCCTCATGAGCACAATTAAGCATTCCGTAATACTCCTACTTCGCAATGTTGGGAAAATTGGGAAACAAGGTCTCAGGTGGAATTGATGAGATTAGCTGACCAGCCACCTCAGCCCCACCTGCAACCTTATTTTCCCAATTTTGTCGTGTAACCCGTAATATTACCAGGTGCCGAGGGAGGATTAGGACGTGGACAGGGCTGTTGGGTTCTGTCGAGCACATCGCCTGGTCTGGAACCGTCTGCACAAGTGTTGCCATCTGTAAGCCCACTGTTGCAGCCATTGTGCCAATCCATCCCAATGATGGTCCTCCTTTTTACCCACCCTCTATGTCACCCTGGGAGCTGCGTGTACTGCTAGGAGAGCAGACGGCAGCCTGTGTCCCTGAGTTCTGCACCCGAGTGATCAGGACAGGTGCGGGGTGCAGGTGTGCACAGCCTGGCACAGTTTCCCTCGTCACCACCGCCGCTGAGCAGGGTGGGGCCTCCTACCTGGTTCTCCGCCATCTGCGGACGCAGGTTCCCTGGGGCCTGGGTTTGGGAAGAGCGGAAAGAGGGAGGTAGTGTGCCACCCCTCTGTCTCCTTTAAGAAGAAGGAGCCCGACTTTGTCCACATGTAGTTTCTTCTCGTGTAGCTGAAGCGCAGGTGGTACTTCACCTGTGGAAACAAAGGAGACGTGGTGTGAGGTGCCGACAGGAAGGTGTATGGGAACACCACCAGTGAACCCAGTCCTTCCCTCCCTTCCTCCCACCCCCAGATGTCCGAGGGGGCTGGGAATGTCAGCACAATGGGCCACCGGGGGCTCTGTTTGTGGGACTATGGGGGGGGGGCATGAGGGGCATCACGCATCTACTCTTGGGCAGATGTTCCAGGGAAAGCTGCAGCTTCTATAGGATGGAGGACATGAAGGTCCCTCGGGGCAGCGGCAAGGGGGACGTCTCACCGCCAGAGGCAGAGGGTCTTTGCTGTGGTTAAAGACGTGCTCGAACACCACGGCGGCCAGCACGTTGGAGGAGTGGTTGTCGTACTTGATGTAGTCCTCGAAGGCCTCCTCGGAGGGGAAGCCTCGGACTGTGGAGAGAACCCACGCGTTCCCCTGTTGTGACCCCAGGCACATGGGAATTGGACCTCTGTGACCCACAGAGGTTTCCTGGGCTGATGGCCAGGAGCTGGCCAGGCCTTTCTTCCTAGTCTTAGCACTTATTCTGGGTGTTCTGCTGAGACCTGTGCAGCCTCAGAACAACATGCCAGCCTCCACTGATGCCGGGTGTGCATCAGGGGCACTGGCTGGGAATCCAACCCAGGTCTCCTGCGTGGAAGGTCTGCTCATCATTGTTGTCAGCCATGACTCAGGGAGACCCCGTGTATTACTGAGCAGACCTGCTCCATGGCATTTTCTAGCCTGAGTCCTGGTGTGGTGGTGTGTGATTAGCTACACCACAAGTCTGGCAGTTCGAACCCACCAACGACTCCTAGGAAACTATACAGGGGCATGAGTTAGAATCAACTCGACGGCTCGTAACAACAATAATCTTGGAGGAGTCCTGGTGGCGCTGTGGGTTAAGCGCTGCACCGATACTCAGACAACCTGCAGTTCAAACACACTAGCCACTCTGTGGAAGCAGCTGTGGCGGTCAGCTTTCACAAAGCCATACAGCAGTCTTCCCGGGTCCTACAGGGCCATGGTGGGCTGCTATCCACTCAGTGGACGGAGGGTCGTTTTTGGGTTTTCATCTGGATGGAAGCAGTCTGCTGCGTCTTTCTTTCTTGACACAGTGGGGTGGGTTTGAACACCCACCTTTAGGCTAGCAGCCGAATGCATACCTTGTGTTACCCAGGCTCCGATGCATTTCCCCAGGGCGCTGTAAGCTTCTGACTCATAGTGACCCTGTGGAGGGCTTCCGAGAAGCAGCTGGTGGGTTTGAACCACTGACCTGCAGTTGGGAGTCCAGTGCTTATCCTATAGCACCACTCCAGGACTCTGGAGACTCACTTAGCCTTTCATTTTTGGTGGGGAGGACCAGCCCTGGACAGTGATTTCTTGCTCTGTGGTTTCTGCGTACGCTAAAAGGCGGCCACAAGGAGCTACAATGGACCCACAGGCCTCTGCTGGACAGGTCCTGCATCTCCACTGCCTTACCACAGTGCTGTGCTCAAAACCTCAAGTGGACACTTGTCTCTCTGAGGACCTTGTTACTGCCCAGGCCCCTCTCCACAGCAAGGTCCAACTGTGAGACTCAGTGAGGGACTGAGGCACTCCACCCAAGTGTTGGCCTGTGGGAAGCACTGCCAAAATTACAGGGACAAAAAGGATGCTAAAAGGGAAAAGATCTAGAAAGAGGAGTTAGCATCCTGAAATGGATCACATTAGAAGTCCTGGATACAGAAGGAGAAAATGTACAACAAAACTCAAAATGACCAGGCTCAGTACTCAGAAAGACTAGAGGGACCCGAACTATGGCCCTTGGTCACCCTTCAGGTCTGGACTGGAACTCACTCTCGTGGCCCCATTTTAGCCAAGCAGTAAGATAGGTAGACAGGGGGGACAAGCACACGAGTGAGGTTCACACATAGAATGGCCAACCATAGTATTTACCCAAGGGCAGACTTCAGAAGGGTTGGGACCAGAGGAGGACTGAATGGGAACAAGAATCAGAGCAGGAGGTGCTACCTGGCTACCTGGGCAGGACTGCAGTCACTAGATGAAACGGAGAGTAGGGCTTGTTGAGGAGAGAGTGATGATCTGCTCTGTAGTCCTTCACTCATTCCAGTGAAGAGTTAAACAAAGGAAAACCAAGTAGCTAGCTCATGTCTGAAGCGCTGCTGTGGTGCTGTGAGATCGTGCGCTGGACTGAAAGGTCGGCGGTTCAGACTCACCAACTACTCCTTAGAAACTCCGTGGGATGCTGCGTCAGAACTGACTCAGCACTTAGCAACCACAGCCGCAGTAGTGCGTGTCTATGAGACGTTTCCCTCAACAAGGTTGCTCTCTCGGATTCCTTTTTTCCCTAAATGTCCTCTATTTGTTCTTAAAGACCCCCGTGTGGTGCTGGAGGATAAGCATGAGCTGCCAAGCACAGTTCAAACCCACCGGCTGCTCCCTTGAAACCCTGTACAGGACTAACTTGGCGACACTCAACAATTTATACTCAGGTCTTCTTTTTATCCTTAATGTGGCTTAGTTTTTAAAAAATAATTGAATTTTTGTTGTTGTTGGCAACACACCGAGGAGCATAACCCCAGTCGAGACTTTCTAGCAGCAGAATTCTGTGAAGTTGATGACACCACCTCACCGCCCTGAGTGGCTTTTCCCTGTCACACCAACTCGCTGCCCTCTGGGGTTCCTAGCGAACCTTTGGAGTCCCATTGTCAGTTTGATTCTGCAGAGAGAGTTCTTAAAAGAGCACAATACTGGAAGCAGACACTTTACTGGTTGAGGTGAACCATTGTTTGGTTTTCAGAAGATTTCAGGGCATAGTCCTTATTTCAGGTTTGAAGAATAGCTTAGAGCTTCCATACCCTTTTTCTTTCCCTAAATTTTTAATTTTGTTGTTGAGAATGCACACAGCGTAACAAACGCCAATTCAGTAGTTTCTGCACATACGACTGAGTAACACTGAGGGGCGTCTTCATCGTGCGGCCACCCTCCTCTCCTCAGTCCCATTAACTCGCTGCCCCTGAAGGTTCCGGGGGGGTGGGGGGGGAACTTTTGAGTTGCTGCTGTCCAGCAGGCTTTCTGATGACTGTGTGTCAGAACTGCCCTCCTGGAACCCCAGCTGGGACAAGGCACTTTATGGTTTCCACTTGGACTACACTCTGGTTTTATCATGACAGCAGCGGCTGAAGCATCGTTACCAACATCCTCACTTGGCCCTTACAGCCTGGGACCCGTGGTGGCCAGGATCTGTATACAGAGAAGCCCAGGACCACCCGAGATGAGCCAGCTCCTCAGTGGAGACACTGAGCCTCGACAGCAGGAAAGCCTGGGCTCTGAGAGCCGGCACATAAGCGCCAGCATGCAGGGGCCACTGACAAAGGTGGGCCGCCCCCTCTGCCTCACCTCTCATGTTGATCATCAACGCCTTCTCCACCTTCTCAGCGATGGCCCTGACCGCCTCGCTCCTGGAGGGGATGTACGCCAGCCCCCAGGAGTCTCCTGGAGGGGGGAAGCTGAAGAAGAGGGGCAGCTCGCGGATGGACTGGCCAGGGTAGATGGTGGCGTTGGGGACGTTTTCAGACTGGATTTTCAAGCGGAGCCAAATCAGGATCCCGGAGAACAGCAACGGCAGGAAGATTTCCAGGATTGTGACAAGGACCTTCCGTTTCTAGAAGTGGAAGTGGAATTGTACACACTGTGGCTGGTCTGAAAAGGTGACGCACCGTACTATCGCCACTGGGATTTTCCAACTGGGGGACAGTGAAGGCCCAAGGTGAGGCAAATGATTAACTTGCTTGATTGTGAACCACAAGTTTGGAATTTCAAATCTACCCCCAGGTGCCCTGGAAAACATCGGCCACTGGAATCCCTCCGGGGACAAGTCTACAGGCAGACTGCAGGCACACGGCAAGTTTGGTCCCAGACTAACACGATACAGCGAGCCCCAGGAACTTGTGGGCTCCCAGTGTGCTGATGCTAGACTGTCGTCTATGAAGCATGGCACAGCAGAGGAAAAGTCTGCAATACTGGGAGAATGAGTAAAACGGGACACTGTCGTAACTGGGAAGCACAATAAAACGAGGTCAGCCTGCACTCAGCTATCCGTGGGGGTGCCGTGAGGAGAAGTACAGTTGAGGGCATAGGTCTTTACAGACAATGAGAACATCAGTGGTTGTTGGCCATGGGTGTACGTGTGCGCGCACATTAACGGGGGGCTTCCATGCTATTTTGAAGGCAGTGAGGCCATTCTGGGTAATAATTTCACGGGAAACACAAGTACAGGCACAGCTACCACACAGTGAGCCCTGCTGTAAACGTTGGGCCTGGTTAGGAGCAATGTTTCAACGTCCATTCATCAATGGTCACCGCTGTCTGGTCCCCCAGCACAAGATGTTAGCAAGTAAACAGGTGCAGGGGAGACAAGCTGCCTGGGAAGCCTATAGTTTCCAACCAGTTTCTCTGTAAACAAAACCCCCAGCTTGAAACAATTTAAGGTGGAGGGAAGCAGGAGCCATTGAGCCAAGACCCAATGGGAAGACAGGGCCACGATGTCCCCTCCCTGGCTGGGGCCACACCTACCTGCAGGGTGTAGTTTTTCCAGAGGAGCAGTGCCAGCTGCCGGAGCACAGCCATTTTGTTGCCAGGGCCCACAAAGCTGTGGGGAAGGACCAGAGACAGAGTGTTAGGGGTGCCCGGGAGACAGGATGCAGCGTCCATAAAGATCACAGCCTTGGTACAGAAAGGGCAACGTTTGTCCCAAAAACAAAGCACAGAAGACAGGAAGGGGCAGGAAAGAAGGATGAATGGACCAGGGAAGCCCAGTGAGGAAGTGGACAGAGTGCCGTAAACAGTGTGGAATAGCCATTGCAGTCCGTGTCATGAAACAACATGTGTGTAAACTGTTGAGTGGAAAACATTCACCCAAACTAAACCCAAAAGTAAAAAATACAAATACAGAGGCCTAGAGTGCCTCTGGGACAGTTCTACTCCGTCCTACATGGCCACCAGGACTTGGAGTCCACTTGGCAGTACTGGCTTCAGTTTCTGCTCTCGTGGGTGTCTGAGGGAGGGCGGGGACCCATCACCAAACACGATCCTCCTCCTGTGGTTTGTCCCGCAGGACTCAAGACCAAGGAAGCTTCAGAGTGCCATGGTTATGTGCTCGGCTGCTAATCAAAAGGCTGCTGGTTCGAGTTCATCCAGCAGCTCCATGGGAGGGACAGCTGGCAATCTGTTCCCGTAAAGGTTGCTGTTCAGTGACCCAGTGTAGGGTATTCAGAGGAGCAGCTGGTGGATTCGAACTGCAGATCTGTGGTTAGCAGCCCAGTATTTACCTGACGGCGCCACACCAGGACTCCCCGGTAAAGATTACAGTCTACTTAAACCAAAAACATCCCGATGTCTTCTTCAACCAAATAGTGGTTTAGCTGAGCTAGTAAAGCAAGTCTGCCTTGAGCACTGTGCTCTCTTTGGATCTGTCTCCTTGTTCATTGCTAAGTGCCTTCGAGTTGGTTCTGACTCACAGCGGCCCTGTAGACAGGGGTGGGGAACCTGTTTGCTGCCGAGGGCCATTTGGATATTTACAACATCATTTGTGGGTCATACTTAAAAATTAGCCTGTTATTTGTTCAAACAGTTAATTAACTCACCCCTCATTTGGCTCAAGCATGGCAACGATTGTGAGGTTGGCCCAGGACCGGGCAGAGTTTTGTTCTGTTGTGCACAGGGTCGCTATGAGTCGGGACTGACTCGATGGCACCTAACAACCACAACAACACAAGATGGCTAGTGCTTACAAGTCAGGTTGCTAATCTCGAAACTACCAGCGGCTCCATGGGAGAAAGATGAAGCTTTCTGCTCCCATACAGATTTACAGTCTCAGGAACCCTGTAGAGTGTCACTGCGAGTCGGAACCGACTCCACGGCACATCACCGCCACCAATGTGACGGCTGGAACTGCAGCTGCCTCGGCAGGAGCATATGAAATGATTTCACAGGCTTCATATGGCCAGAGGACTGGACGTCAGTTACCCACCCCTGCCATATAGGGCTTCCAAGGAGTGGCTAGTGAGCACGAACTGCCAACCTTGTGGTTCAAGCTGACCTTGCAGTCCAGTGCCTTGTCCCACAGTGTCACACCAGGATCAAATGGACAATGGGCAAGGGCAACTCTAAAGACTCGATGGGAAACTTAGGAGGCAGTGAGTTGGTGCTGGTGGGGTAGGAACAACTCGCAAAAGGAGGGTGAGAAGAACTCAAAAGGTAACCAGCGTCCCTGAATTGTACATGCAAAAATGGCTGAACCGGTGCATGTTTTGCTGTGTATAGTCTCAGGAAAAATAAAGATAAATTACAAACAAAATTTTAATGGAAAACTCTATGGAGCAGTTCCATCCTATCCCGTGGGGTTCACTCTGAGCCAGAATGAATTTGATGGCACCCAAGAACAAGAACTGAAGACAAGACCCCTCCGGAGAATGATCTTAGACCCGCAACCGTGGAGACATCTCAAATCCAAAGAACATGAGTGGCTTTCTTCTTTTTTTTCTTCTCAAACTCAATCCCGTATCATTGGGTCAGTTCTGACCCCTAATGACCCTGCAGGACATAGAAGAAATGCCCCACAGGGTTTCCAAGGCTGTGAAGCTTTACAGAAACAGATCGCCACATCTTTCTTCTGAGGAGTCACTGGTGGGCTCGAACTGCCAATGTTCTGGTTAAGAGCCTGGTTCTTAACCTGCTGCACCACCAGGGTCCCTCTTATCCGATGCATGGATGTCGAATGCAACGTGGCTGCTGGGTGGTGTTGGCTGGGTGAGAAATGCTCTGGAGCATGTGTGCTTAATGTGGATTTGTTCTTTTTTAGCAAGTTATCCAGGTTTCTGGAATTCTCTGCTGGGAACCAGTTAAATGAGACACTATTTAGTGCCCTGGCTGAGGGGTGACCTCTAAGATTTGGAGAGAACCCTGGGCCACCTATTTAGGAAGCCTCCCTGGCATTCTCAGGGGAGGCCCATGTGAAGGAGGAATGATCTGCAATCACCTGGCTCCCCCCTCCCGCCCCCCATCCCTAAGAACCAGTTTTTCCTGTTTTTTGTTTTTTTATGGCATTGACATTTGGGCCTGGCCATTTTCACCTCTATTTTACCACTTCTTCATAGAAAATGCAAGGAGCTCTGGTAGCATAGTGGTTACGAATCGGGCTGTGAACCGCAAGGTCAGCAGTTTGAAACTACCAGCAGTTCCGCGGGAGAAAGCTGAGGCGTTCTGCTCCCGTAAAGATTTACAGCCTCGGAAACCCTGTGTGCAGGGTCACTATGAGTCGGAACCGACTCCATGGCACTTAACTACAACAACATAGAAAATGCATTCCTCACCCCCCCACTTCCACCCCCTTAAAAAATCTATCTGCTCTGGTGCAGAAAAATGGCTCTGAAACTCAACACAACAGACAGCTAGCTGCTCCCACCAGTATGGGTCAGCCCACTGAGCTCAACCCCACAGGCCCCCAGCCCACATCATCAGATGCTGACTTTCAAGAGGAGTAGGGGCTCAGGAGTACCTCCAGGAGACCCCTGGACACCCAGGAAGTAGACGGTGAAGCCATGGGAGGAGGCACAGCACTGGTGACTCTGGGGCGGGCGGGTGGGGAGGAAGGCTGGACTCGGGGAGAGAAGCCCAAGGACTCGACTGAAGGGCCATACGATCACTGAGTGTCTGCCGTCCAGTCCATTCCGACTCAACTGCCCTCACAGGGTTTCCTAGGCGGCCACATCTTCCTCCTGCTGAGTGCTTGCACCTTTGCCTCCTAAATCACAGAACCAAACCCAAGCCCGCTGCTGTTGATCCGATTCCAACTCAGGAACTGCCGCCATCTTGGCGGGGACAGATTGACGGTCCTCTCCCAGAGTGGCTGGCGGGCTCAAGCCACCGGCCTTTCGCTTCATAATTACTGTGGCTCCTTACACCAACCACAGAGCACTCACACGGCTAGTCAATCCATTCACTAACACTAACGGAAACAACCCTCCTCAAGACCCCAGGAATCAGAGGGTCTTTTGTGGCTCAAGTGGGTAGTTTCCTTTTTAAGGAGCGATGATGGCACACAAGTTAAGTGCTCTGCAGGTAACCGAAGGGTTGGCAGTTTGAACCCAGCAGCAACTCCGTGGCTGTGTGTCCCGGTGAAGATCTGTAGCTGTGGCTCATAAGTGGACACTGATCAGGCAGTTCTACCATCACACGGTGTTACTAGGTGAAGGTTTTGATGGCATGGCTGCCCACATGCCTCATAGTGGCCATGGGTGGGGGATTCCAGCCCGCCTGGCCAATCATTTCATCTGGTTCTGCCAAAGAACCACAGTTACAGCCATCACACTGTTCTTGTTGTCGCTAAGTACCATCAAGTCGGTTCTGATCCATAGCAACACTGCCTAGGGTTTTTGAGGAGCGGCTGGGAAGCCTGCAGTTGTTATGTGCTATCAGCTAGGTTCCAATTAGGGGTGAGTTCATTCAATGCCTGACCATATATAACAGGCTGATTTTTAAGTTGATAATTTTGTATGACCCGTGAATGATGGTATAACATTTGGCAGAAAACAGGATCCTGCTTGAAAGGAGTCCTGGTGTGGCACTGCGGGTTAATGTACCAGACTGCAAAGCCGTTTGAACTGCAAGGTTGGAGGTTTAAGCTCACCAGCTGCTCCTTGGAAACCCTATGCAGGGTCACTATGGGTCGGAACCGACTGGATGGCACTTCACAACAACAATGCATACTGGTAGAAAGCACAACTGCAAGAAGTTATTCACAACTGGACTATCTTCGATGGACTTTAATACACAATTAAAAAGTAAGGAAATCCAAGCTGACATAGTGTATGGGTTAGCGAGCAGCCACTTCACAATCACCCCAAGACGTAAGGTCAGCCAGCCCCAGTGGCCCAGTGGCTGCAAGTCAAAAGGTTGGCAGTTTGAACCCACAGGGAGATTCAGGAGAAAGACCTGGTGATCTGCTCCCAGGAACATTAACCCATGTTTATGTTCCTGACGTGGAGTGGACTCCACCGCATAATGACCCTACACAACAGAGCTTGATTTATGGGAACAGACGGCCTCATCTTTCTCTGGTGGATTTCAGCTGCCCACCTTTTGGTCAGCAGCCAGACACTTAACCCACTTTGCCACCAGGCCTCCTGAGAATCCCCTGGGGCAGTTTATTCTGTCATGAGGTCACTGTGAGTTGAACTTTGACTTGATGGCACTCAGCAATACCAAGGTGGAAAAACTATGAAAACCCCATCGTAGATCGTGAAGCAAAGAGCAGTGAATTCATAGCGCACACCAAGTTCCCAGAAGAGGTTTCAGCTGAAAGGGAGGGGGCCAGTTCCCGGTGAGGGCCAGAGACAGACAGGCAGCTTGGTTAAGATGAACTTGCTCCTTCCACCAAGACAGGGATCTAGAAAGGCTAAGTTCAAAGAAGTCTGAGCACAGAAATAAGTGAGTGAGTGGCAAAGTCCGGCCAAGAGGAGACAGCCCACGGAAACCCCGTCTCACAGACACACTGTGCACCTTCCCACAGCTGCTGCACAAGCAGCACCTAAGGACTGACCTTTGTTCCGGACAGAGGCTTCCAGAGG